ATATATATATATATATATATATATATATATATATATATATATATATATATATAAATGTATGATATTGTTTGCTTATGAAATGAGAGACGTGGAGGAGTGATTTCTCAATGATATGTATGATCTAGGATTAATGAGGTGAAGGTAGAGAAGGTTGACAATGATGGCAGATAGAGTAAAGGATGTGAATATGACTATAGTAATGAAGTGAACTGAGACATCAATGCGATCTTAATTAGGTAGGATAGTGCGCATCGTATATTTATTTTTGGATTAATAGATGATAAATTGCTAATAGTGAGATATGATTTATTACTTAATCAATATATTATTTTCTAGAAATTGTGAGGAAAATTCTCAGAGTTATATTAAAAATGGAATATCTCTTTGGGTTTTCATAATGAAATTATTGAATTGTATGTCGTTTGGATTTTTTGATAAGTAGGAATGGATACTTATTAAAAGTGAAGTGTCTCTTTCGAGTTTTCATAGTAATATTATTGTATTGTATTATTAGACTGAATAGTGTATGGTTTGAAGGTTTTGATAAGTAAGAATGGATACTTTCTTCCATCTCAGACAAAAATGTTTGAAATGAATAATAAACAATTGAAATATTTCATCAATAGGTATAAAACATAAATTATTTGTCTTGAAGCTATTGTTGAATTCATTTTGCGGGTTTATTAATGAAAGGTGATGTGATCTTTATTTCTAGAGAAAGATTATAAAGATGAAATAATTTCGGGACGAAAACTTTCCTCTTTTCATCTCATTCTCTACATAAATTATTTGTCTTGAAGCTATTGTTGAATTCATTTTGCGGGTTTATTAATGAAAGGTGATGTGCTCTTTATTTCTAGAGAAAGATTATAAAGATGAAATAATTTCGGGACGAAAACTTTCCTCTTTTCATCTCATTCTCTCAACTTTTCGGCTAAATCCAGTTCGAATTATTTATCGATTTAGCTGTACATGAAACAAAAGTAATTCGTGAAGTAACAGATTGAGAACGATGAAAATAAAATTATGAAGATGAAATAATTCTATTGTTGTAAATAAATCGAAGTTATAACATTGAATTGTTTCAAGAAGAGTTGGATTAAATAACAAACTGAGAACGGTGGTTAATGGTGATACAATCACTCTGAAACCACTGATAATCCTCTTGTGTACCTGTTTATTTGACGTATCTTTACATACTCCCATATTAACTGTACATGGCGACTAGAATTCAAGGTGGTTTACAAATATTTTCATTAAATTTATCTTTGCTCTCCACATTATGTCGGCTAAATTCCGTTAGCTTCGCACAGATGTAAACAACAATGTATATGTAACTGGGATAATTTGATGCAAAATATTTGTAGGATTTGTCAACATTTGATTTTTATGTTTTTCATTCTATTTGAGCGAATGTTTCCCGGGATTATTAACAAATATTAATCCGTTCACTTTTTTTACTCATATTATTTTTAGCGGATAAAACCTGACTGCTTTTGGATGATTTTTCCATCGGTGTATTGGACAATTCGTGCTTCGTTTTTTATTCATTTTTAAAGTGTCATTTTTATTATCTTTTAAAACTTTTCACTAGTTTTTTTTTTTTTTTTTGCATTAACGATTCATCTTACGGTTTGTTGAAAGTTGTATATATATGGTTGAACAAATGAACTGACATTGCTAGTTACACTAAGGCAACTAACTTTTAACCGTGCTTTTTTAACATCCAAGTTTGATATGCCATAAAATTAATAGTAAATGATGCGTTGTGCTGAATGTTCCAGCAAATAGTTCACTGTTTTCTTAAGTAATTTATCCTACTAAGATTTATTGTTTCATAAAATTTTCGACGACTTCATTATTTAATAAGGTTTCTCTTTTTATCCATGCGCCATCGTTTGTAGCGACTGTTCCTTTTTGTCAATGTATAAATTGCATTTGATTTACTAATATACATTTGCAGATATTAAATGACATCAAAAGGAAAGGAAATTTATAATACGATAAAACGTTCCCTTGGTTCTCAATCATTTGGCATTGCTAGTTCATCAAATCATACAAACGGAGCTAGATATGCTGGTGGTACTTCATCCAAATGGATACATCCACCTGGTTTGTCGGTTTAATGATTTGAGTTTCATGGGATTTATTCAATATTAAAATATTGCTGGTTAAAGAAATATGTTTTAATGTTCCACTGTTGTAGACGTATTGTTAAATGGTCGTGTGGAATATTCCGTAAAAATGCTTGGTTTTGCGGAAGTATCGGAGCCAAAAGGAACGCATGTCATTCGGAATGCTATTCATGCTATTCGATTTCAACTACAAGTAATAATTCTTTCTGTAAACCTTTATTTCTTCCGTTTTTATCTTCCCTCTATTTTTCACTACTTTTGAGGAAGCTTTAACTTCCCAGTCCTTCAAAATCATTTCCGGAAAAGTAGTGGAAATTATGGAGTAATTTTTAAGATTTTTTAACTAATGTCATTTGCCGAAATATTTGCTACAAACTCCAGAACTTTGATTTTTGGTCATAATTCGGATTTAAAAAATGACACTGAAGACTATTCTCAAATGTCAGAAAAAAAAGGAAATACAGTAAGACCGATACTACCAGGAATAAGTTTTACTTTTTCCACGTTCATACTGGGCAGGACTCTTAACTTTTATTGCATTAGCTTGAACCAAAAGCGAAATTCAGGGATTAACAAGACTATATCGTGTATCCTTCTAATGTCCTCAAAATGATTCAGGTAAGTCGAGGAGTTACGGGACATTCGGGTGCAAAGCTTAAGAAGGTGGATTTGCAAATCAATGTAGATGGCTTAACAGTTATCGAAACAAAGACAAAAATGATTTTATTCAAATATCCCCTCCATCGAATCTCATTTTGTGCCGATGACAAGCAGGTCCTTTTTTTAGCCTTATATGCTGGCAGGGTAGATGTTGGAAATTGATTTTGTTTATGTTTGTGTTGTTCTGTTCCAAAAAAACAGCTATCGAGTAAAACCATTATCAAGTTAAGTAAATTCATTGAAAATTAATCAGTGTTAATAGTTGATATATTCCTACATTTTGCATGACATCTCGATGTGGTAAGCAATGTATTTTTTGTTTCTCCTCTGTGCGAAATAAAAATCAGTATCTATATTACAGGATAAGAGGGTTTTTTCATTTATCGCCAAGTCCGAATCCTCTAGACATGATTGTTTCGTTTTTCTAAGTGAGAAATTGGCAGAGCAGATAACTCTTACTGTCGGTGAAGCTTTCGATCTTGCATATCAGGTAAAATTGTTTAATAATTTCGACTGGATATTAAATAGTGTGAGTGATTTGGTTGTTTATTTCATCGGACCTAATGCTTCGATAATTCATAAATTTTCAAATGTTTTAGCCGGAATATATCGTCTGATCTATGTATTGACATGACATGTGTTCGTTTGCCACTTTTTTTTACACTTCCTTTCAGAAATTTCTGGAAAGAAATGGACGAGATTTGGAAAATAAAAACAGTTGATTATGTTGAGGAAGCGAATAGCAGAGCTGGAACAAGAAAATAATGAGCTGAAGGAGAAGCTTTACACGCAGCAAAACAAGAAGGTTCCTTGTTGTTCAATCTTTAATACACGTTTCATTAGCATTCTAGAAGAATTGTATCAGAACAGTAGTTAATTCGAATTTCCAAGAAAGTTTCTTTCAAATCCTTTTTGAAATTTAGCATAAATCCTTTTGTTTAACGAAGTTAGTTGTTAGGAGGATTCTGTACCACCTCTACCAACTTCACCGATGCCTCGTGAGCCACCTCCTGGAATCACTCCAACTATAATGGACGAAAAAATACCCGCAATTGTTCCACCGCCAGCTATCCCACGGAGACATCATGCGAACACTGTGAATACAAGTGATCCCACTGCAAATATCCCACAAGTTCGGTTCAAACTAATTCTTTTTGAATTTCAAAATTTCGTTTCCGAACCCTGATCAACAACTGATTAGATAAATCGCTGGACATTTGATACTGTGAGCCTGTTTAGTTTAGAATATTAATGATTTGCTAAATCTAAATGAATAAATCGAGCCTATCATCAAGAAAATATCTCAATGAAAGCTTTGGCAGTCTTGGGCTGTATATCGTTGACAAAATTTATGAAACTTTCGTGGTTCCTTTTTCCTTTTATTTTTGTTTTTTGCAGCAGCTTCATTATAGTATGTTTCCCATTAACTGCTTGGATAAATAAGCCCTTGGAAGGAAAGTGATGTTTTATCAGCAAGGAATTCATTTCTATTCAATTCTTTCTAGCGTAATTAAAGTAAAATTGGGATGCATTATCCTAATCAACAAAGTTGTTGAAATAGGATCGAATAGTTCCAGAATGAATTATTTGGATTAAAGAAAATTGTCTCAGAATTGGGATTTTATCTCATAAGTAAACTATTTTATTTCATTAAAAAACCACTGACAAGCAAATTTTGTTCACCTGATTAGAAATTATTTGATTTTGGCAGGATCGTTACTTCCAAATGATATTTTACTGGGACAAATTGTATTTTGTTATGAGGCACATCATCTTTACAAAGATCGTTCTTAAGCGAGGTTTTAAGGTCATACATACTCGAGTTTTAAAACAAAAATAGGCCGTGCAAGTTAATGACGTCATCGTTCATGTCCCCTAACATTGTACAGTTTCTAATTTCATTCATTATATTAAATGATTTGAAAGGTTTAGGTCGGAAGACGTTTAGAAAATTTGCAATTGGATAAAATGGAAGATTTATTCGATGACGAATTTGATCCACGTGCAGATGAAAGAAAAAAAATAGTAGCAGGAGAGAAAAAAGAGAAAGATAAATTTGGCCTTGATCCCTTCGGGGATGATTTCATGAACGATGTCCTTGTATGTCTTTTTCCACTCCCATTTTTTAATCTTAACTTTCGATTCAGTAATACTATATGAATGTTTGGTTCGTTAGCATATCGCAGCAGTTCCAATTTTTTATTTTTTCTCCAATTTTTCGAAAGAGAACCAAATAAATTACATACATATATACCAATGAACCAAAGCCTAATGGACTTTTCTTGTATCTTTCCCAATAAATCTTTTCTTTTGTCAGAGTTTGGAGCGAAAGCCGCTTACCGATGTACCATCTACTTCAGAACACGAACCAACACCGGAACAGTTCGATGAGATGTTATCCATAGTAAGAATTTTGAATATTTTTTGAAGGAGAAGTTAACTGGACATTTTATATTGAATAGGTTAGTAGTAGCAGTGATAGAAATATGCTTATTTCCCTGAAATTTTGGTGATTACCTTCCTCTTAAAAGTTAAGAAAAACAAGTTCAGGAACGATAAACTTATGAAAGGTTATCTTGACCCTTACAAGCCTATTAGATAAATTTTCAACTCACAAGAATGACCGAAAATCCCAAAGTTTCCTTGGGAATGCCAGACTATTTTCATGATTTGCATCTGGGAAAGATGGCTTGCTTCTGATAATCTGGAGTTAGATCTTTGTATGTATTGTTTTTCAGGTGGATAAACGATTAACGGAGCTACGAGATGGGTTTGCATCGGGAATTCTAGCAATGGGTGATACGGGTGATGCAGCGCGCGACCTGCACAACATTTATGGTGTACCAATTCAGTCTCCAGAAACAAATACCGGTGAAAAGAATCAAGCAAAAGTCACGCAAAATGGTCATACTTGATCAGATTTTGAGCGCTGAAAAATGGCTGAAATAACATCATGCAAACCTTTTCATAAAAGTTTTGCTTAGCCTGAAAAGTTGATGAAATTTTAATTACCTCTCTTCTTTCAAGAATCGAATTTTTAAAGGAAGAGACGTAATTAAAGTCAGCTGTCGAGAAACAGACATTAAGAAGTCTCTCTTACTGAGGCAATAACTAAATGTTATCTTTGAAATAGTAATATGCCCGCAAAATCAGCGCTGGTAAAAAAGTACACTTCGATAATTTCATAGCAACAAAATGGAGTTGGTGTAACTTTGTTTTTAATCTGTGATCGTTTTTGGTCTGTGATCTTATGGAATTTTTATGGTCGCTAAACAGTATGTATTTGGTGTGATTTGAATGGATTTTAAGAACTTAGTGGTTTACAATCGTGTAATTTTAAAATGAGGTTGAAAATTGAAATTGAAATTATAACTCTTGAAGATATTTTTTGACTGTTAACAAATGCAATGCGAGCAATTGTTTCATTAATTCCTTCACTCATCTTAAGCGGCCACAAATGATCATTAGTTTAGCTCAGTACTTCTGTAATTTTTCGGTAGCGCCACCCACAGATTTTAGGTATATAAATGTAATTCTTCGCAGGGAATAACCAAAAGGAACAAATTATTTTATAGAAATTGAGAATCTGCCAATGTATTTCTGCATAATTCCTCCGCCTTCTTTACAATTTATATCACTTATGGTTAGGGAAATATTATGCCTTAGATAAGTTTTGCCTGCTTTTTCGTTTTTATTTTTCTTTTTTTCTTTTAATGAGTTTCTGACGGTTTTCAGAAACAGTTCACCAACAAATGGTTTACCGCATAATATTTGTATAACAATACCATTTGACATATTAAAGAAGTAATGATTGTACATTATTAGTTTTTAATCATTGCACATTTTTATTGATTTCTGTTCAAAAAAGAAAAAGCAGATGATCACAAGTGTATCTTGTAATCCATCAGAAAGGCTGCCGCGATTCCTTCATATATATACCTATGGTTAAATATGCAAGATGTTGGTTCTTCTTTTCCCTTTTATTTTAAGTAGGAATTATGGATCGTTATAATAAGGAAAATCTTCAAGTTAGTGGTAACACTTTATGAGAATAGCTAATTTGGTGGTTGTCGTGATTTCTTCGTCGAATATACGGAATCTACTGACTACTTTGGGAACCTCCCGCATGCGCAGTAATGGGGTACGGTTGTATCAGAGATATGAATTATGCTACCATGACAGTGTGAGAAACTCAGCCTCGGAAATCTCCCGGGAAATCAAGCGATGTAACGGGTGTCAGAGATGTTTCAATCCACGAAACGACCGTTTTCGTAGCGATCCACGGCCTATTTTGTATGATTCCATCAGCTTGAAATTTCCCGCTTCTTCTTTTTCTCACTCTTTTTCTAAGACGGCAGGAAAAAGAAAATAGTGGGAGGAGTGGTTAGAAAATGAATGCAAAAGATAGTGGAAAATTAAGTATCGTAAGAGGGAAAAGAAAAGGGATAAATGAAAGGATATGGAAGAGTGTGGCGGAAACTGAAATTTGCCAGTAATTTAAGTGCAAAGAAAAAGAGAGTGTTTTAGAATAGGATAGCGAAATATTAAGGACAGAAAAAAGAATTATTTTGATTGTTTAGCTTTCTAACAGGTTATTTAACGATCTTTATGCAGTAAGTAATCAGGTAGTAGTTACTTTACCTGTACAGTAAATATGTAAGTAATAGTTACTTTTATGTAAACACCATGTTTTGTTTACATATCCTGTTTATATTGACTTGTTTACATACTTATTTGTGTACTAATATTCATATGTATTTATCTATTAATCTGTTTATTTGATGTTTACTGTGCATATTTTTTTCTCTCATTTGTTTCTCTCTATTTACCTAAATTATTACCTTGCCAATTTATTTTTCTTTTCAAAATATGCTATTAGGTCATTTTACTAGGTCATTATATCTAAGATGCGCCTAATACGTGCCTAATATATTGTTAATATATTATTCTCTATTTACCGAAATTATTACCTTGCCAATTTATTTTTCGTTATTCGATCATTTTAATACAGAATGATAGGCTATCATAATTCATTCTAATCATTAAGCGTGATAAAATTTTCCTTCTGCCTTCCTTGTTAATCATAATTATGGGTTTCATATTCAGATTTCTCATTTTCTTTTTTTAAAATCTTTTTCTAGAATTATTCGTTTTGTTTACCTGTTTGCTTGTTTCTTTTTCGCTTCTAAAATTTCTTGAAATAATTGTGCACAATTTTTTTTTATTTTTGTTTTGCTTCCAAGTATTTTATAATGTCAAAGATCAAATTGTTCTTTTTCGATCATTAATTAAGGATTTTTTGATGATGCGTTATTTCTGCATTTTATTATCTTCAATTCTTCCCTAATATTTGATTTGTTATATTACGGACGTTAAGAAGAAAATGAAGGAATTTCAATTTTATGTGACCGACACATGATTTATATTAAATTTTTTTCAGTATTCCGCTGCTAAATCTTCCATTTTTAAAAATTAATATGACAGAACTGGAATACAACAATGTATATCAAGAGCATATGGGCATAATGGTAATCATTTTCTTTAATATAATTTGACGAGTAATTGATTGTTAAAAGGTATGTACAAGTATTGGGATAGGATAAGTATTGTATAGATGAAGCAGAAATGCAGACATAATATGATGTGAAGAAAAAAAGCTCAAAGAAATTCAAGAAATTAAGGAAAACTATGCCGTTGTGTAAAGATTGAGTTAGGTAATTATAGCACTTGAAGAGCTCCAATTAGGTAACGGTTGTGTTTGAACATAGTGAATAGTTTGCCTCTATCAAGTAATTTTAGCAATAGAACTTGGTAAATATAACACTAGGATTAAATGTACATAGTTTTTGAACCAGGTTACTATAATAACTGCCGTACAGGAAATAAGGAAAAAATTAATTTATTGTCAGTTTTAAAAAGAAGCTTTCACACCAGTTATTTATGTAATTTCGGTTTCCAAAAAGTTGGGTTTGGTTGGATATCGAAAATCTGAGAAGTTAAAATTTTGATGATTTCATCAGATTCCTTTTTACTGAGTGCTTTTTACAGCATCAGGGACGCATTAAATTGGGCGATTCACAAATAAATTTTAAAAATACCAGAAATAACCGATTGCAAACAATTGATTCATCAGAAATTAATAAAATAGACTGGATGCGAGTTGGAAATAAACCTGGTATACGAATATGCCTATCTTCGGGAATTCGTCATCGTTTTGGTGGATTCTCTGAAAAGGTTGCAACAAATCTGTTCTTTACTAGCAAAGATATTCATTCTAAGAATAATATTCGCTTTTTCTATTCAGCCTTCCTTTTTTGTATTTTCATATCACTTACTGTATGATTTCTTGTTTTATAGGACTTCGAAGAAATTAAAAAATTTGCCCTTGATAGGTGGAGTATTGGTGTTGAGCAAGTTGAGCAATGTATCAAAGGTTGGAATTATGGAAGAGCGGAAGTGAAGGGTAAATTTTGTCTTCGCATATTTTTTTTTTATCTTGGATTTTTTTAGCGTCTTCGGTCTCTTTGTTTCCTTTTTTCTGAATTTCACATGGCAGTTTCTTTCAGTGCGCCATTTCAGTTTGATTCAAACTTGTTGCAGGTCAAGTACTCGAATTTGAAGTGGATGATAAGCCATGCTTCGAAATCCCACTTAACACTGTAAGTAATTGTACGGCTGGAAAAAGTGAAGCAGCTTTGGAATTCCATCAAAATGATGATTGTTCTGTATCACTGATGGAAATGCGTTTTCATATCCCAACCGATCCAGACGCTGATGAAGATGTTGACCCAGTGGAGGTACTTTTCTTTGCTTTATTTAGTCAAATTTGTGTCACATGTTTCATACGACTAATCTCCTTAAGATAGTTCGGAACTTCTTTTTCCGTTGCAAAGTAAGATCTTTTTTGTTTTATGTTTTGCATTTTCATTTCTAGTGAAGAGAAAATCCTTTTTGCAGGAATTCCGACGTGCTGTAATGCAATATGCTGGAATTGAAACGGAAACAGATCAACCGGTAGCGATTTTACAACAGATTCTCTGCACAACACCTCGGTAATGAAATTTAATTTGCTTTCAGAACTCGAGAAAATAGGATTTAGGAACTATATTGATATATGAAAGGAATTATTTTTACGAAAAATTTCAAATCTTCAGTTTATTTTAAAATCTCCAATTTAAATATTTGCAGTGGTCGATACGATATTAAAGTCTATCAGAATTATTTGTCGTTGCATGGTAAAACATATGATTACAAAATTCCGATTCGTACAATAATGAGGCTATTTTTATTGCCTCACAAAGATGGACGCCATATGTATTTCGTGGTAATTTTTCAATTATTCCGCTCTTTTTTTTGAATTATTGTTTTTTAGTCAAAAAAGATTCAGCATTTTGTGCATGTAATATCGTATGTTATTTATATTTTTGAATTTTTAATTTCCACATTTAAGATCAGCTTGAATCCACCGATTCGCCAAGGTCAAACTCGCTATCACTTTTTGGTTCTTGAATTCTCGAAAGACGAAGAGGTTGATTTGGACTTAGGTCTTACATCGTAAGTTTCCCAATAATTGGATGTGTTGTTGATATGCTAGCTCCCAACAAGATTGCAGGAATATAATTTCATTAATCTTTTCAGTGAGCAGCTAAAAGAGCAGTACAAGGGGAAACTGGAAAAACGAATGAGCGGGACTGTCTTTGAAGTTGTATCAAAGATATTTCGGGTTATGGTTGATATGAAAATTACCGTTCCCGGAAGCTTTGTTGGGTACGTCGATTCTTACTTTTATTCATGTTTTTGCAGTTCACAGACATTGTACGAAAAATATGGCGTAATTTGAAAACTACTTATTTATACAGGCACTCTGGAACTCCAGCAGTCATGTGTGCTCACAAGCAAGCTTCAGGGTTTTTGTATCCATTGGAAAAGGGGTTTGTTTATGTTCACAAACCGCCGATGTACATTCGTTTCGAAGAGGTGCTTATAATTTTTTTTTTTTTTAATCTGAGTTATACGTGCGAAATTTCTGTACAAAAAATTTTTGTGCAAATTTCTGTACAAAAAGAATTTTTGTGCAATTTTCTGTACAAAAAAATTTCTAATCTTTTTTTCCAGTTGTGGAAGTCGAAAATGAAACCCTCTGGCTTTAAGTGAATTTTTTTCAGAAAATAAATTGTCAACAATCTAAATTTTTTGTTAAACTTTAACCTAATGCCATCATGTTTTAATATAAATAATTTGCAGATAAGTTGCGTTAATTTTGCCCGATCTGATGTATCCACTCGTTCTTTTGATTTCGAAATTGAGATGAAAGGCGGCAGTTTGCTCATTTTCAACAGTGTTGAAAAGTTCGTCATTTAATAGCTCCGTACACATTCTATGTCTTTGTGCATCTATCACATGTGTATACATAGTTTATATATGCATATTTATGATCTTTTTATCATTTCAGAGAAGAATATAATCGTCTGTTCGACTTTGTTAACAACAAACACTTGAGAATCAAAAATGCGAAGCGACTGGTTTGTTATTGTTGCATCACTTCGAGGATCCGATTTCAAAAACTTTTTGATTTTTCGACATAATCCGTTATCGTTTGAAGATTTTAGCGATTGTTGAAATGATTTCTAGGATAAACCAACGTATGCAGAAAATCTTGCTGATAGTGACGAAGAGTTGGATCCGTACAAAGAGACGCTGAAGCAAGAAGCAAGAAATAAAGAAGCAGCAGAAAGCGATGATGAAACCGACAGTGAAGATCGTCAGTGGTTTTGCTTGTTGCTAAAATTTTTAGTTCATGTTTCAGTTGGGTGTAATATAGTTTAGGTATCGTGAAGCGTGCTTCATATACTACGAATGTATAATACACTTCTGATTGTGGCGCAAATAGCTTCCGAAAACGATACTGAAATAGTGACTACCAAGCTGATTCTTAATTTAATATAGTATTTCTTTACTTAGCTTCATTTAGCATTTGCCATAATTTTTTAGATGATTATGATCTCGAGGAAGATTTGAAGAGAAAACGAAGTTCAACAGAAGAATCAGGAAGTGAACCAGATGAAGAATACGACAGTGATTCTGCTCAATCATCGGAAGGTGGTTCTGGTGATCACAAACAAAAGAAATCTCCAAAATCTAAGAAAAAGGTAGAAATTGCTCCTTCTTTAATATTAAATAGTTTGGAGCAAAATAAATTTATCTGAGTTTTAATGAACTCTCTTCATCTCTCTTTTTAACGCAGAAGTCAATTTTTTGCACTCGGACTAAATAAATATTATGCCTCCTATTAGGTCACTGCGAAAAAGTTTAGCCGTATGGATAGAAGGAAAAGGATTTTTATCTTTAATAGATTACGATCTACTGGGATTCCGGAATGTTCTATTTCATTTTTCACTCTCAATTATATAAGGCAATAGCAGGCGAATCTGCAGGAAGTAATTATTTCAACTAACGAATTTTTGTAGGATTTATCAAAATCTACAAAAGCTGCTAAGCGTGAAAAAAAGAAAAAAGATCCAAATGCTCCGAAGAAACCTCAGTCAGCGTATTTCATTTGGTTTGGTGAAAATTACTCAAGTTTTAAGAAGGAAGGAGTCTCTGTGACGGAGGCAGCCCAAAAGGCTGGCAAAATGTGGAAAGAAATTGACGAGGAAACTAAGAAGGTTCCATATTTTTCGACATGCTTTATGGATTTAAATTTCGAGTGGTTGGTTCTTTTCAATGATAACTTGGGTTTAATTTTTCTTTAGAAATATGAGGAAAGAGCGAAAGAAGATAAAGAAAGATATGCTCGCGAGATGAAAGAATATATGGCAAATGGAGGACCTGCATCTTCAACCGCATCAACAAGTCTAACTAAGAAAGTAAAAAAGCCAAAACCAAGGTAGGCAGGTCACTTATTTTAACATAGTGAAAAATTTCAGCATATTTATGCTAAAATTACATTTAAAAGTTATTAGGACAGACAATTTTTATGTTTGTCAATTTCCAAATGCTTTACCAGTGGGCCTTTGAATTTCGGTTTTCGAGATTTTTTTCCCTCAAAGTCGCTTGCTCGAAGGTTTCAAGTATATATATATATATATATATATATATATATATATATATTAGCATGGAAAAATGAGAACACGATCGTGTAAATATGTATGTACTTGTATGCTTGCATGTCTTTGATACATTTTTGCTTGGAAATTGGTTTTAGTTCGCCCGTGAAACTGCATTCGAAGCCGAAATCAAAGGAATATATTAGTGATACAGACAGCAGCAACGAATCAAAGAAGGATAAGGAAGAGAAGGTTTGTTAGTTCGCACCAATCAGTGGTTGGCACAATTTACTAAGTCGACCATTTTCTAATTGATGATTACACAAAAATGAGATGAGCAAGCTAATTGTTCATCTCACTTTACATATTCGTTAGCTTAACATTCACTACCATCTAGCAATTTGAGTGGCAAATGTGGTGGGATAAGTTGAGTTGTTTAGATAAATTTACGATCAGTATTTGGGACAAAGCATTTATTTAATTATTTGTTTTTTGGCCGGATCAAATAATTTCTCAGTTTCCAAATTATTCGATTAATGAATTCTTGAAGAAACAAATTAATCATTTAGTTATTTTTTGGAGGAAAGTGGTAATTATTTCTTTGATTTCTAAAAGTCGTCCTATCCTCATTTCCGGAACAGTTATTGAATTCATTGACTTAAAAATAGAAAGTAAAGTAAATCAATCAGTTTTAGGACCTCAAATCGGAAAGTGATGAGAGCAGTAATGAAGATGACGATTGATAAGGATGGGCAAAAGATCGATCTCATTAATTTTGCATTGCATAAAACCAATCTGCAAAGTTGTTGTATACTTCCATATGTATAAACTTTCGTATGAATTATTTTCAACATCCACACAAAAGTGAATTAAGGCATTCATAAAAAGATAATACTGCGTAAGTGAAGAAGGGAGGCTAAAACTAGTGGAAACAGTTAGTTCCTCTGGGATTGGAATTTCATGCTACTATTGTGATGCATTTGGAACATTCAAGTCTTTTGTCATATCAAATACAAGGATAAATCCTCTAAGGTTTACTTTTACGTGGTAGTCTGGAAATTAACTCGGATGGAGTAAGTGGGCGGTTGGGATGGACATTTGCACTGGCCTGGGACTCACCGTTTAACGGACCACTGTCATTGATTTTGGTTTAGGTTTGCTGTTTCTTCTGTTCCTTTGACGGTTGGAGGTGCTTGCGTGTTGGTTTTCTGGTGGGTCAGGGTGAGATTTGTATAAAGTTGTCAGAAGTGAAAGCTAAAATTGAAGAGACATTATCCCATGGTAAAAGAAAAAAACATCCGGCGGCTAATGTATTGAAAAGTTTTGACATGATGATTCGATCTTTGTAATGTATTTTTCATGTACATGATTTGTTGTGCTTCTAGAGAAGAGAGAGTGTGCGAGGAAGGGAGTGAGAGATAAGCAAGAGGATGTTTGCATTCTAAAAATATCGTTAATTTATACAAATTCGATTTTATAGTGAAAGAAATAATCGATTTTATCAGTGATTGCATTTCCTTGTTTAATGGTTTATTTGCTTGCAAATGTATTTGTAGACTAGCTTGCATTGTTGTACAATGGATAAACCAGTGAAGTTGGCAAAAGTAACGAAGATTCTTGGACGTACCGGTTCACAAGGGCAATGTACACAGGTTTAATAATCTTGTTATTTATTAATGGATGACTACATGATAATTCTAATTGGTGGATAAGCTTAGGAGATGTATGAGATATGAAATAAAGAATATATATGGGATGACAAGAATTGAAGAATATGTATTCAATCATTAAAGTAGAATGTAAATGGTTTGAAGGAAATAAAAGATTACAGAAAAGGTATTAAATTCTAGCACATGTTTCGGAATTTAGCGTTCAGCTTTGAATTCTTGTCTGCTGTCTTTTACTTATTAAGTTTTCAAGATATGAATATTGCAACGGTAGATTATGCGTAATTAAGTAGTCTCTTTTGAAAGCATTATATTTCTACAAAGTTATTTAAAACAGAGAATTTTTTCACTTGATGTTTCTCTTTATCTCTTTTTTTTCATCATTTGTGCAATATTGTCTACTTGTCTTTTCGCCGTCATTTGATTATTAAACGTCTTTGTAGAGTCTGTCAGTTTAGTGTTCTACATTGGTGTGAATTTAACCTAATGTTATTTATTAACTTATAATTTCGAGATGATGCAAGTTGCAGGTACTTGTTGACTTCATCGATGATCCTTCAAATCGCTCAATTATTCGTAACGTAAAGGGACCAGTTCGAGAGGGTGACATTCTAACATTACTGGAAGCAGAAAGGGAAGCCCGTCGACTTCGTTAACCCTGTTGTTATAATAGTTTCTGTTTTTACGATGAAATTTCTGGAATAAATAATGCTTTTCATCTTAGTCTCACTTATTACTGTTGCACACGCATTAAATGATCCTTCCCATATTTCGTTTTTAAAGTCATTTCTTCTTTTTCTGGCCTTGAAAGTTTTTTTTTTTTTTTCTGTCCAATTTTTTTGGGGAGTGGTAACGATATAAGAAGAAACGAGTAAATATGGCACCTGGATACAACAGGTGTGAGAATGAAAGAAGAATAGTTTTACGGTGCTAGGAGGATTTTGTTGAGGTGTAGGATGAAATCGGATGAGTAGATGTAATCCAGAAAGAGAGTTGTCTCCTATAATTAGCGGATTCGTGGCATCATAAACAAGAAGAATATTCTGAGAGAAAGGGATGGGTGTTTATGTTTATGTATATCGGACAAAAGGAAGATATGTTAACCGTATTATGTGGCAATCCAGAAAATATGAACAACTGCTCGCTGGAACCGGATGTAGATGGTAAAGAAGTGTCTGGGTGCAGGACCGACACAACTTTTATAGGTTGTGGATGCCAGAAATTTACGAAATGCTTGGCCTGGTCCAAAGTTATCAATGTGGTAGCGTTTGCTTCTGCAGGCAATATTTGTTTTGTGGTCCCAAAGGTAACGATATTATACATTCTTCTTTTCTCTATCCCTTTTAATTTGACGAAGAGATGATTGATCTGAAGATTTCTCCATTTTCCCGAAACAAATTTTGCCAGATTATTCCCTTCCTGTCTTTCTTCCTATCATTTCCTGCTAGCATTAGACGATAACTCGAAATTCAAGAAATGAAGGCTGATTTATAAACTGAAAGTTTAAGTAAGTATTCAAGAACGATTCACGACTTCAAATGAATCTTTTAATAGCTAATTGTTATATCACTTCTTGTATAAATTCCATCAGTGATTGAACTTTGGTTGTGATTTTTGTATAAGCGTTAGCTTTGTAATAACCTTAGTTCTTGAGGAAGTTTTCTTTTTTTAGTTGGAAAAGCATATTCGTATTCCTCAAATTTTAGACTAGTAACCTCGACAAGTGTTAACTTATTAATAGTTTGTCTTTGGATAGTAATTTTCTAATATTAGTTCTAATACTTTGGTTATTAATTTATTGCTGAAGAACTTCCTCGAGTTATTAATTGGTTATTAATTTATTGGTTAAAAGCTTCTTTAATTATCATAATTGGTCATTAATTACCGTTCTGATAGGTATAGCTGATTGTTTTTAAATCAATAGCTACTACAAAAAAGAACTTGTTTTTTTTCAGCAAAATAATCGATGCGTAGCTATAAAAAATGTAGTGAAAGCTCATGATTTTCCGATAACTTGTTTGAGATTTGTTTCATGGTATCATCATCCCAACGGTAAGCCATTTGACTATCATGAAAATATCCTACTTTGTATAAGAATTAAAAACTTAATTTCAAATTAAGACTAAAAAAAATACTGACTAAAAAAAGCATTTGAATCGATAAATTTAATTGAAATTCTGTTATCTTCTCGATCTTATTCAATTTATTTTTATCTTATCAGATAATTGAGTATTTATCATGTTAATTAGATCATTTACTGACGTAATTTATTTTTATTTTTTCATAAAACATGTAGGATTCAGTAAATATTTTATTTGTTTGGTACAAATGCGGAATTTTTAGCTTTTGGTTTGGATTATCTCTTAACAGGAGCAGCAGATGGAACTGTTCGTCTCTGGGCAGTACGAATATCAAGCCGAGTAGTTGTTGCAAAGTTAATCAATAATATTGGTATGGCATAAATCTTTCTTTTCTTTTTAATTTTCTTTACAACTTTGATATAATTAATATAAGCAAACATTCGAGATGATTATGACACTTTTCCATTATTAATAATCAATATTTGCAATTGGCTTTTGACTTTTTAGAAGATGTAAAAATCATTTTGAAATTTTAGGAAATGCAGCAACTGGACGTCCTGTAAATTGTTGTGCTGGTGCAGTGTTTAGCGAAACAAATAAGGATATTACTGTTGTGATTTATGCTATTCCGGATGGTTCATTGGTTGCTGAACAGATTATTGTCGATAGAGTATCTTTGGAGGGAGTAGAAAAGCAAAGCTATGAAAGGATCATATTTCAACCTGCTTTCATTGTTTCTGTTGCTGTTCATATTATTTCAAATGGTAATTATATTGTTCATGTTCGGCGTAAGTCAATTTATTAAGATAAAGGAGGTGGATAAGAAGTTATGCTTGATTTTGTTACATAATATCGTTATTGTTGAATGATTTTGATAAAATAATAATGAGCTATTACGATTAGGAACAAAAAAGTTACCTCTCACTTCCTTTCTCATCTGATTTGATAATTATTTTAATTGTCACTTTTGTTGGAATGTTAAAATATTTTGTCTTGTTTTTCAAAAACCTTTAGTATTGTATTTCTGTTGTGACCATAAGTACTTTTGCAGATGATATATTGTTCATTTTGGGGACAACAAGCAATAATGTTGAAGTTATTTGTGCCAAATTTGCTTTTATTGTAAGTTTATCTTCATATTCCTAATTAATTATTGGATTTTTTGATAGTTTAGTTCAAATAATTGGCGTTAATATATTTATACCTGACATGCTCTTTCTTTTTTTTATCTTTTTAGTCTTCACAGCTACGAAAAGCCGTAACTCTTCAAGGACATACTGATTGGATTTCGAGCATCGATATCCGAGGTGAGATTTTATTCGTTTTTTCTTCCTTGTAGAAGTGATTGTATCAATTGAAGTAAAATTAAACTTATTTTATTTCAGTTTCTGCATATTTCATTTCATTTGTCTTTGTTAGAAACAAGCTTGAGTGGTACCAGACACTACTGAAAAAAGGACTTAAGATCCTAAAATCCCGCATTTTAATAAACTGTATACTTAATATCCAAGATAATGCAGAATATTTTTGTTGTTTTTTATTTTTGTTGTTTTTTTTTTGCCGTACTTGCTCCTAATCTTCCAGAAATTGTTAGGAAGAGTGGTCCAGCCGGAAAAAATTGCCTAACGTTTACGAATTACTTTTTCCGAACTTTATAGTATTTCTCATATTCTATTTTGTTTTAATTTTTGTCGGTAGTAAAGTGCATAATCATGCTTTATTTTTTCCGCTCTTTAGTGTATGGAAATGATATTTGGTTAGCAAGTGGTGGGCAGGAAAGCATTCGTATTTGGCGTTTTGATCTCTTGCAAGGCAATGAAGTGTGTACTGAAAACGATACTCAATTAAAAGCTCAATTTACATTATTTAATGAAAAAACTCAAGGTTTTTTTCATTTTAAATAGTTCCAAAAGCAATAAATTCCGAACAGGTTTTTGTTCTTGTTCACTTTTGTTAAATATCATCTTAGAAGGATATCAAATACGGAACTGACAAGATGATATCTTAAAATACGTTAGCATATATTGATAGTGAAGAGCTTAATTGAAATAAAGGCAGAAAGACATAAATTTTTATGAAGGTTTCAAATATTATATTATTAATAAGGGAAACTCGAGCAAAAAAGATATAAAGAAAATATTATATTGTATTTTTAGCTCTCACTTATACGATAAACGTCACTCTTCAAGGTATTTTAAACGCCCATGAAGATTGGATCTATTCAGTGGAATGGCATTTAAGCAAGCTACAACTGTTAAGTGCATCGAACGATAAAACAGTAATCATATGGGAACCATCCGAAACTGCTGATGGATTATGGTTCGATTCTGTATGTTAATTTTATATTCAAAAATGATTTCTTGGGTTCGAATATTATTTTTTCTAATGAATTTAATTCATATGTATGTGATGTTTAGATGAAAGATGAAAGGACAGATGTAGAATGAAATTAGTAGTTAAATTTGCTGAAATTCCCATTCACTGTAATCCATTTTAAAACAATTTCGTTAAAATAATCTGCTTTGATTGAATACGTTGGATCATATTTGTAGTTGTAAAATTTAAGTTTATTCAGGTACGTGTAGGTGACGTTGGTGGACAAGCAGTCGGTTTTTTTGGGGCTTGTTTTTCTCCTGATGGTTACACAATCCTTGCTTATTCATTTTTTGGTGGTTTTTGCTCATGGCGGGTAGAAAAAGTTAGTTTGCAAAAATCTAACATTTTCAAAGCTTGAATTTTTAAAGAGGTTTAATTTTTTAATTTTTGATTTTTTTTAATTTCTTAATTCGAAAAACGAAATACAAAATACATATTTAAAGGAAGAAAGCAACCACTGGAAAAGCGTTTCAACTTTCGGTGGACATTCTGGACAAGTTAGAGATATCACTTGGGATCCTACTGGAAGCTACTTGTTATCCTGTTCATATGATCAAACAACTCGTTGTTATGCTCCTTCCGTCAACTATGTTTGTTCATTTATTTTAATTAGCATATATACAAGTTTTTCACAGACCTAAAAAGCCAATCATAATCATGTTGTACATTTTGAATTGATATTTTTCGGAGCTGGCTTCGAGGGAACCGCATATTGCGTTGTTAGTGTTTAAGGAATTTTAAATCATTTGCGAGAAAGTTTTAAAGATCTTGTGAAATTTTTTCAAAAATTTTCTTATCGAAATAAAATCACGAATTCGTTGATCGAATCAGAAATGAATGAAAGTAAAATGATTCAAAACTTGTAGGGTGTAATAAGTGAAATTGCTCGACCACAGGTGCATGGTTATGACTTGACAAGCATCGCATCTCTCTCAAGGTATATGTTTGGATACCGTGCAATTTGTGAAGTTATGAAAGCTTGTAAAGTCATTTTTCTTTTCTTATACGCCTGAATTTACTTACTGGTTCCAGCAGTTGCTTTGTTTCGGGCGCCGATGAAAAAATCCTCCGTGTTTTCGCTGCCCCACGTAACTTCGTTGAAATGCTAAAGATTGTTTCAAACTATGATTGCCAAAAGGTGCTTTTTGAGTTATTCAGATTTGTAGTATGAATTAATATGGAACTAGTTCTACTTCGTTAATCTAAATTGTGGTTTTAAACCTTCTCCTCAAAGTCAAAAAATAAATACTGATCGAAGGTTCTGGAAAGGTTGTTTCATTCATGTATTAAAGACATTTTACAGCTGTTTCCGGATCCCACGCAAATTGCCGGACATAATGCAGCCATCCCAGCGTTAGGTTTATCAAATAAGATTACCGATTCTGTAAATATTCAAGGTAATGAAAATTTGGCAACTGGTGATACTATGAATCATAATGATGGTTTCATAGAAGGTTAGTTTTTTCAGTGTTTGTTATATAAATTCCTTCAAAGCTTTCTGGGTAGTTAGTGAGTTAATGTTTTAGCAGTAGTGAATCTCTGAGTTTTGTGGGCAGATCACTTCAATATTTAACATTGAGGTTCAGGAGTGCCTGTTGAGGAATGCTTAATGCAAGATACACTGTGGCCAGAAATTCACAAATTATATGGGCATGGATATGAAGTATTTACGGTTGCATCAAATCATTCCGGTACACTCATTGCAAGTGCATGCAAAGTTGGTGAATTCTTCCATATTATCAGATTTAAAATTATTGCGTTCTTTAATTTTAAACAAGTATTAGTTGGGATGGAATTTAACAAGTTTTTAGAAATCTGTAGAGAGTGATTTTCCGTGATGAAATTTTGCTCTTGTTTATTTTGGATCTGAATATTTGAGAAAAATTCCACAGTTTTACTGAGATTTTCAAATTTACCAGATTTTAAGATGAGACAAATTACAGTTATTCTAGGCAAGTCGTGCTGAAAGTGCCATCATCATCATATGGGACAATAAGGAGTGGAGACGTCGATGCGAACTACAATGCCATAAGCTTACTGTAGTACAATTAGCCTTCTCAAACAGTGATTCTTTTCTTCTTTCTGTTTCCCGTGATAGGACTTTTGCTATTTCGGCCCGCTCTTCGCAAGGTATTAAATAGTTTTCTTAACAAATACCATGTTTGTTTCTAAATAAATTAGGAATAACCGACGAAAGAAGTCAAGTAGTTGAATAAGGCAACGCATTGGAAAAATAAAACAGTGGTCACCAAGCTTTTCCAAAGCTCAGTTATCAGTATTTTGTACAAATACACAAATACACGGCTTGTTGTCACTCAGCCTGTAATTTTTAGCCCTTGATTATGTGAAAATAAACACACGAATTTGACCAAGAAATTGTTAAATTCAAGCTCTGAAATTTGAAAAATGTGACTGTTACTTCTTTCAGATCCTTTTGATTTTAAAATTTTGTTAACGTCGGAGCAGAAGTACAGTAAAGTGCATTCTCGTATCATCTGGTGTTGTGCATGGACTCCAGATGATAAATATTTTGTGACTGGAGCAAGAGATAAGAAGGTAATATGTTGAACAATTTTGTAACAGTTTTGTAATTTGAGCAATTTTGTAACAATAATATCACTTCTAGCTGATTAAATTCAAAATCCAGTATTAAATTCTAAATCTGTTTGAAAATTTGCAGTTATGTCTTTGGCGTTTTGATGGGAATGACATTCAGCTTGTTGCAGAAAGGAAACATTTGCATGCTGTTACGGCAGTAGATTTTGTACCAAAATTATGGAACAAGTGCATATTTTTTCTCTTTTTCCAATTCACTGCAATCGTTCGATTATCCTATAACTTTACACGCCTTTTTAAATTTGAATAAGTTATTGTGAATAATACAAGCAATCAATTCACGATGGTTACAGAAGTTACGATGTACTGTTGAATTTCAGACATTACATTTTGGCCGTTGGTTTTGAAAATGGGGAAATCGAAATTGAAAAGTGGAACTTGGACCAAGATGACATCAATAGTAGTGATAACTGCATGAAGCGGTGGTTGGCTCATTCAGAAACGATAAACAGGCTGAGGTACTTTGTCATTATTATTAAAGAAAAAAAGGAAGTATTAATTCATAACAATTATAATCCTGGAATTAAAATAGAGCCAAATGAACTATTAGGATTAATTAAAATATGTGTATCAAATGAAAACTGAATTATTATTATTTGACTTTGTCCGCGAAGAATTAGCTTCATGAAGAAATTTCATTATTTGAAAAGTTTTTTCCTTTTTTTCATTTTCTTCAGGTTTCGCCCAAAAGAAGGATCATGGTTAGGTGATGGTGATGTAAATAATCATATTTGGGAACTCGCTTCGGCGAGTAATGATCATTCTGTCGTAGTTCATCAAGTAATTTTGTTCTAAACAAATGGATCTATTAAATGAATTATTGTGATGCTTAGTACGTTTATGTTAATAGTTGAAACTAGAATACTTATTATGTCATAAATTGTTGTTTGGATATAATCAGTTGTTGACTTAACAGCTATGATAATAAAATTACGATTGGTTTGACTAGGAATGGTGAAATAAGTCAATCTAAATCAATTAATTGGTTAATTATGTAAATGCAAAATTTGGAGATGTGTGTGAAACTGACGGGGCACGTAAAATGAACCGGTAATTATTGATTTTTGTTTTGTTTTTGTTGTTATTACTGTTTGTACAAGTATATTTGTCTGGATAAAAAAAAATCTCTTCTACCAATTACTCAACAGATGTAAATTGTAAAAGTTCATGTTCTCACTGGAAAATTGAATTTAATTTCCTAAAAAAATGAAAAAACTTCGCATAATAAGGAGTGCGATTTCCTGCTATTCAAATATTTTTAGTGCTCTAAATAAGAAAGGATTACTATTAAAAATTCAATTTAAAATGATGTATATAAACCTGATCGAATGTGTATTTGACAGACAGATCGTCAATCAGTAGTCCAGATAGGTAATACATTAGTCATGAAGCTGATGCGGTGCATAATTATTGCAATTATTCTTCAAACATTGACAATTGATTAATATCACATTGATAGGAATGACAAACAACATTCATAGTTATGATGAAGATACTAAAATTGTTTGTGAAAGAGATCTTTTAATTAATATTAAAAACCTAATTATAATTCTAAAAAAAAAGGTTCTAAAAGAAAAGGAAGTTTGTTTGCATTTGATCGAGTAAATTAATTAAAATTGCTTTCATCTTCATCTACTTAAAAATCATCAACTAGCATCAATTCTCTTCCAATTTTCAATAGTTTTTCAGATGATACCAAAAATTTCTAATATGGAAAAGGATTAATTTTTGATCCATCAATTAATTAATTAACTCTAGATACATTGTTTCATCAGGATGGTGAATTCATTCACTATCCTACAATTGTTCAAAATATCAAAATTATTAAATTTTACAAAAGTTAATTTTTTGATCGTTGTTAAATACTATAATCAAAAATTGGTATATTATAATTAAATAACCTAGACGATATATTAAATATACAAAAATTACTATAATGATCGAATATTAAATGGATTTGAATAAAAGAAATGGAAAGACTATCATGGGAATTCTCAGCGATATTATTTGGTTATTATTTTTTGGAAGCAAATTAATTATTGTATAATTGTAAGCTTTGATGTTTGTGAAAAATAATTAATACAATCATTGTTTCACATTCCCTAATTGTTTCCATTTTATAATTATTTTAATAACGATATATTCGTATATTTTATAGGATAACTAAAATATTGGCTTACTTTAACAAGAAACGAACGATCAAAAGTAATTACTAGGAAAGGTATTGGAAATTTTAAATCGTTAAATTTTTAAATAGTCGTATCTCAATTATGCATGTTTCTTTTTTTTTTTTGATGGTAAAATTAATTATTAATTGTATAATTTTGTTTTTTTTCCTTTAAAATTTTAAAGTACAATGAAAGATTTGAAAAAAAAAAAAGATTTTGCTTTGATATTTATTATCAATAATAATAATAAAAGAATGTTGCCAATTACAATTATTTTAGAAATTATTTTATACTTACAAATTACATAAAATATCACAAAATATGTTGTAAATGAAAGAGAAAAAAAAGAAAATTTGCAATATATTAAATGATAAATTAATAAATTTAGCAAAATTAATATATCAATTAATTATGCTTAACATATTATGAAGTAATTCATTTTAATAAATATTTATCAAATATTTGGGATGTTAAATAATTTATGCTAATATCATTACATTAATAATTTTAACATTATTTAACAATTATCATTTTCACCGGTAAATTCTAACAAACACATTTCTGGAAATATTCTTATTAGATGTAATTTTTTATAAATTGAAATTTACAACAAATTTTCAACATTTTAAATATTAAAACTTTAAATAAACATTCAATTTTATTAATTTAATAAAACATATCAAATAATATAACTGACATAATTAGTAATTATAATATTTAATTTAAATAAA